TGCTCAGACAAAGTGTGCTTTCTGCTTGTTCAGCTTCACTTGCAGAGTCCACAATCTGGTCTATCCACGATAAAAATAATTAGAAAACAGTAAACAAATGAAGTTTTCTAACCTCAGAATGAAATTGTCAGGTTGACGTAATAAGTGGTTTTAGACATGTGCAGCAGGAAGAAAGGTAATTATTTAACTTGCCTATTAGTTTAGTGGCTGTGAACGGCACAGTACTCCTTGAAGTGAGAGGGAAGTCAAGGAGTTGAGATTTGCACTGATCTGCTGTAGGGAGGCTGAGTGGCCGATTTCTGTGTTGGCCAGGCACTTCTTATAATATCATTGTTTTCAGTTGCTTGTAACCTCATTAAATGTTTGCTGTTTGTGCGTATGTTGGCAGGCAGGGTTCTGGGAAAATAACAGCAAGTAACCATGTAAGCAAATAGCTAATCTATGTTTGCTTAGCCTGATATGTCATCAAATTCTTCCCAAGCACGTTAATGTACAGCTAAAATGCAAACTAGGGCCTCAATCCCCATCTGAAGCTTGCCTGGGAAGCTGGACCAGAGATCTAGGCTGAGGCTGTGGCACCCAGCTACTGCTGTTTGTGCATTAAAATTAGTTAGGTCTCTTTATGTGGAGATTGTTGCCTCCTCTGAAAATTTTTGTGTATATTTCTGCTTATTGAATGGTTACTGTTATCCCTTCTGGCATTCCTGGAAGTTCCTCCTCCACCCTTAATAATCACAACTTGAAAAAAAACCTTCATTCCTCTAGAAGGGGCAATGAAGGATACTGCTCAGATCCAAAATAAGAAACTTAGCCTTGCCAAGACCCTGCAAAAGTGCTGCAGAGGTATGTCTGAATTGCTCAGGATCCCTCCGTGGTTATCACGTGCTTATACAAACTCCACCCAACTACATTACTTGTGATTGACAGGAAACCCCTGAGCTAAATAATTTGAACTTTATGAGTGCCCTGTTAATTCAGGTGGCTGTCGTGGATTCTTATGGGCTATTCAGTCATCCAGGTATTTGAACATAACGTATTAAATTTGCAATAGTGCAATAAATCCACCTTTGAGGCTGTTAGTATTAGATGCAAAATGTAGTAGTCACATGGCGCAAAGCACTGGTACTGGCTCTGCTTGTTCAAGTGAATTTGGCAGGATAAGTTAATGGCAGACTTCACTGGCAAATTGGGGTATAATCTGTTCATGCCACTCTGGCTTCATGCTAGATTAGATAGCAGCGGGGTTTTTTTGTGGCTAGGTTAGACCCAGACACTCACAAAAGCGTTGAATTTTGTTTTCCATCTAAGTAGACAGGGGTGTGGTGGTGGTTTGCATCAAACTGTGCTACTTCATGATCTGGTCATTCACTGATCCAACATGAAGAATCATGTAACCACTGCCTTAGCCATTAGATAACTTGTTGATCCAGTGTGTGCACATATTTCATAAGGCAGTTGTTGCTTGAAGCGGTATGGAAAGGGATGTATAATTGACTCTATCAGTTAAAAATAAAAAACCAGTCATTAGTTCATGTCAGCTTACTCGAAACGTAACATAAACCCTGCAAAATTGTCTGTTGCCTGGGTAGAATCAGCACATGAGAAATATGGTCTGCTTACAGATTAGCAGTGTGGGCTGGAAGGCAAACACACAAGGTGTGTCTTTTGTGTCATGTGCCTGGCATCTAAATTCTGACTGCAGACATTTTCAGCCTCCCTCAGATTTTGTGAATAGTGCTATATTTGCCTACAAACATGCTTTCTCATTTTACTGCATTGGCCAATCTGTTGTCCCTTTTTTCCTCAATTTGCTTGTGTTTGTGTCAGAAGTTTGTTTCAGAGTATAATGGAGAGGAAAGCAGGGTGCAGGTACACACTGTCACTGCTGTATGTTTGCCCTGAAGCAAATTACGTAAGGTAAAAAAATGTGACGTTTTGCTTGAAATGTAAAGTTCAAGGCTTGTGAAGAGGGTACTGATGTCCTGCTGGTCGTGTGGGCACCTGTAGAGTCTTCTCAGAAAGCTCTATCAGGTGCTTTGGCATTTTTTGCTGTATCTTAGAAGGTTGTGTCAGAAATGGCAAACTGTCCTGGTCTCCATTCCAGAGCTTTCATTGATCTTTTATGTACATGAGTCCTAGTAATTGAATACATTGAAGATGAGGTTTGAAATCATAAACTCATTTGGGTTTAATTTGCTTTGTGTGATTTTTCTAATCAGCTGTAGGACTGAACTTGTGAAGACTGCATCCAGCTGGGACCCTTTAAACTCACTTAGGAGCCTTTATCCATGAGATAGCACATTTTTTTTCTTACAAAAGCTCTTGTATTCTTGTTTGATCTTTTTGAGCTAGTGTGACCATTGATATGTAATCCAAACTGTAGCTATTTCACGTGTCCCATCTGAGATGTGGCCTTTTCTTCATACAAAGAGGGAATGGTTTCCATAATCAGGCAGAGCAGAGTACTATATATGTCTCCCCAAAGAGCCACGGAAGTGAGAAGCAAAGCAGGTCATTAGAGTTTTTCTTTTTACCATACCTGAGCTCTCTTCTGGTTCATTAGTGTGGGTTATATTGTAGTAGCACTTCATGCTGAAGTGAAAATCACTATTGTGCTAGTCTCCATATAAACACAGAGAACAACACAGATCTTGCAAAGGCTTTATAAGACAATTTAACTTAAAATAAAACAGATGTTTGTGACAATGGAGGAGAAGAGAATACTAAACAGCATTAGTACATGTTCTAGTGCTTGTAATGGGCATTTCTTTGGACTGAATTATTAGAAAGCTGCATAGAAATATTTAATTATAAATAAATATTGGCAAAGCCTATTTATTACATGAAGAGAGAAAATAGGACAGTAATTTTTATTTCCAAATACCATACAACGTTTTTGGCCTAATGTAAAATGTGTGAGACAGGCCGACTAACACAGGGGGAGAAGTAAATGGTACTTGAGGAGTACACAAAGACCTGGAACAGATATTTAATGTTAGCTTGTTGAGATTGTGTAACTGGATGGCAGTATAATACGGTTTTGGCATCTTTTGTGGATATTTTTATTCACTGATATTTTTCAAGCATATTGTTTCAAACATGGTTAGCTGAAGTCACTGCTCAAAAACGTTGACAAGCACATGTTTTGTTGAGAAGTTACAAACAGTTTTCTTCACTGTTCACTTCCCGTGGCACTTGCGATGCCTCATATGACAGCACAGCCCCTGACTTTTGGACTTACCTCCTGTCTTTGAAAGTTGCACTAGATTTTTCAGTTTTTAACATTTATGGACTGAGTTGTGTTAACACATAGGGCTTGATCATACCCTGTATGATCAGCTGCAATTCTTGGGCTTTGGAAGCCAAGCAGGTAGATTAGGAATAAAATTTCTTATCCATTTGCAATCAAAACACTACCTTAGGTTTTTTTTTTAAAAAAAGGAGTCCACTGATTCTCTTGTACAGTGTTGTTACAGGGTATTATTTACAGCCTAGTAGGAATTCAGATAAACTTTCAACATATTGTGGTTTTTGTTTATTTTGTCATATCTGTATTCTCCTACTTTGCTCATCTTTGAATTTGGCAATCTGTGTACATTTTCTTAAAATAATTTTGTGATGGTTTTGAGGTGCAGCTTCTGATATCTCAGGAAGGCCACTGATTAATATTTCTCAAAGGTTCAGTTGTGGTGATATTTAGGGTTGGCTCTGAGGTGCCTTGCTGTTTTGGGTCAGGGATCTCTGGGCTTTCCGAAGCCAAGCCTTAGCTATCACCTGTGTGAGCAGCTTCAAGGACCAAGAATGCACATTATTAACCATATAGATGCTTTCTTGAATTGCCCTTTTGAGTGGTTCTGCAGACCTCTGACATGCTGTAACAGGACACATTTCCTGTGAGGCCTGTGGTTCTTGTCAGTAGAAATGTTGCATATTTAGTATCTGTCATAGTTAGGTGATGTAGAAGCTATTTGAGCTTTCTCTCCAAGCAAAACTGAAAGGCATCCTAGATAGTTTACTTATGTCTTATAAATCTTTGATCCACCCAGGGGCTAAGGGCTTGTTGATGATGGCAGAAATGTGGTCTGAAATCAACCACTGACAGCCAGCACTGCGTGTTCCTGCACTGAGTAAACTGGGGTGTCTCAGACCCCTCCATCCAGCCCTGCCATACAGTCACTGATGCAGAAGGACTAAGGGCTGTTGGTCCCGTGCTGCTGGTGACACCCAAAGTGTTAGCAAAGCTACCCCAATGCACCCTCAGTTACTCACCTAGGGTCCTGTGGGTGTCGTTTGGTCTCCTGCAGTGTCCTGCAGCATCCACTGTGCATTTAGAGACTACTTTGTGGCCTGGATGCAGACATTACTTTGATTTAAGTGGATAGCAGAAAGGCACAGGCTAGCTCTAACCTTTGGTGAGTTGTCCATGCTCAGAAAATTAAGTTGCTATGTCCTGCTGATTACAGGCTTCATCTGAGGTTTGGCTTGTGAAACAAGGAGGTCATTTTATCATCAGATATTCTCTGATTTTGCAGTGAATATTCCCTTTTAATAAAAAAAGGTGAAAACTGTATTCTCTCAAACAAAAATTTTACACTAAATTTCCTACAAGGAAGAATAGATAGTTTGAATGGAGACTGCAATTGAAAATACAGTTCAGGCCAGGGACTGGCATGAGCAGGGGGAGCCTGCTGAAGGTAGATGGATGACTGGCAGTGGTAAAGTGTGTGACTTACATGTTATGTGCTGTGACATGTAGTGGGGAAGAGGGTATCGTGTGCTAGGATGTAACTGCTGGGCAAATTATCATGAAAAGCATGATACCAGACACGGGGCCAAATTCTGATGGCCCTCGTTTCCAACAAATTTTCATAAACTGCATTTGAAAAAAAACTCCCACTTTTGTGCATTAGAGCCGAAGCAGTTATGTCCTGCTCAGCATGTTACAGCATGTGCAACGTGCCCTGACTCCCTGTCTGCCTGTTTTCTCTCTCTCTTCTCAGATGGCCAGTGACCCATGTGCCGAGCAGCCCCGGCCCACACCTGGCATGCTGGCTGGAGTCAGCCCCTGCCACTGAGGCCAGGAAGAGGGAGGAATCACCATGGCCTCATCCCAGCGGGCCCGGCACATTGGCCCTCCTGATGGAGGCTGGGGATGGATGATCGTTGCTGGCTGCTTCCTTGTCACTATCTGTACCAGGGCCGTGACAAGGTAAAGGCAACTGCCGCTTGTCTTGCTGACCTGTTCGTGGCATTATCTTCTTCCTTTTTTTTTTTTTTTTTTTAACTTAGGAAGAGGGTTTGAGATCTCCCCTGATGTCCCACAGCTGCCGGGGTTATTCTGGTTAGGTACAAACTCTTGTTACATTTTTAAAGGCTTCCTGAAACCTTAAAACTGTGGGGATGGCTGAGGGATTATGAGCCCTCTGGTTTTAGTCTTGCCTCCTCTGACAGCTGCTCTAGCTTTCAGCACCCTCTCCTTGATTTCTTACAGAATCAAGGCCTGGAGCAGGTAGCGCTATTTTAGGCGCTGGTAGTTTGACTGGGGAGGGAGGAATCACGTAGGGTCTCTTCGGGTTCACTGTGTCCCTCTGACCCCACAGCCATGCTCATTTTTGCTAGTCCCAGTGAATTAGCTTCCTGAGTCTCTCTGAAAAACACGTAAATACCTCCTTCTCCTACTGCAAGCACTTCAGGTGCTGTTCTGCCCGAGAAGGTCTGAGCCCTAGAGAAGAGGCCCCTCTTTATACCCTTCTGGTATCCAAAATATGCAGAAAATATTTCTCAAATATAGAAAGAACAGGAATAGATTTCTGCCTTGCATAAAGCAATCTGAGATGAGATTGCTTCCACAGTGACTTTGAGCTGACCGGAGACAGAGGAGCCTGGTGTGTGTGAATGTGGACATTCAAGCTATATTAGGCAGATAGATAAGCACCTTGGTAAGCGAGAAACACTGAATCAGTGTCTTGTTGGACAGTCAGTAAAACGTAAATATAGTGTTTGCTACCTAAAGTTCATATTTCTTTTAGAATAAAGCTGCCAGATTTAGGGATCTAAAGCCTAGGGTTTTGGACTCAACATCATAAAAGAGGCATAGAAACACTGATTAATGTTAGTTAATGTATGCAAATGTACCAATTCCATAATAGCAGTAGAGCATAATTCCTAGTGGATTTAATTATTTTTTAGTATGTGGAATGTGTTACATCCAAGAAATGATCTAATGGCTGACACACAGTAGCCTATATAGAAGAATGAAGTTATGTGCAAGAAAAAAAGCTGAAGAAAGTGGTCATTCATTGATTTACTGGAGGGAAAAAGAGAGAGTGAAAAGGCATCTCTTGTTGATCCAGGAATGATGATGAAACTATGCAGCCTTTGAATCTGCTCCCCTGCAGAGACATGTAGAACAGTAACACTTGCTAAGCAGAGCAAAGTAACATCTCCTAGAAGCATTTTATTAAAATGTTGGAAGATCCACAGGCTCCTGTGGTGTTTTGATTCTCTGTTTGTCAGGCTTTGCTTTGGACTTGTCCATCCATGAACACATAGGTAGTGTTTCTTCTGTAGGTGCTACGTTAGCCAGTTTGTGCAGGTGTGGAGTAGAGAGCAACCAGGTCAGTGAGGAATTGGAAAACTAGGGCTTTATGTTCCAGGGAAGCAACATCACAATATGGGCTATAAATTGCTGATGATAATTACAACTTCATTTAAGTTTAAAATACTGTGAGGTATAAAAACTCTAGAGGCAGGCACTCCAGCAAGAAACATGTGGTATTATAACATTTGTAATCTCTCTGGAAATTATGTCTGAATTAGGCTCTACATCAGCCTAATTGTCTAATCCCACTGTTGAGATAATAGTTGGACACCAGTTTTTGATTCAGTTGTTGCCAATGCAAAACAAGGATTGTTCTCATATTCCATGTCCTGTCCCTCATGCATTAAAGGTAGATCTTCTCTGCCAATATCCCTTAGAAACTGTTTAAACATTTCTCTATCTTGTTGGCATATCGGCAAACCACAGATTTGATTTTTCTGGGAGCTGGAGAGGACCTTCAAGTGGGTACTTTTTATACCTGAAGAGTGAGACCTGTGTTTTCTGTGAGCAAATGTTCCATGTTCAACAAATTTGTGTTCATATTTTTTGTCCTAGGTGCATCTCCATATTTTTTGTGGAGTTCCAGGCATACTTTGGGCAGGATTATGCCAGAACTGCTTGGATCCACTCCATTGTCGACTGTGCTACAATGCTCTGTGGTGTGTATTACCCTTTTAAGCCTAATGTGTCTGCTTTTTCATCAGTTCCATCTGGTTTTAGCATGTTCACAAGTTGGTGGAGTCAGCTGGGAGCGATACTGTGGGCTCTCTGGGGTATGGTATATCCAAGCTGCTTCCATCAGCATAGATGTGCAGGAAGGGAGTGTCTTCATACTGAAGAGAAGAAGCAGAACTTTTTCTTATGCAATGATCTAAGTTTTCAGAAATGTACTTTCGTCAAGGTCTTGTGGGTCATGTCGTGTTTGAGAGCTACTAACTGAGCACGTGTTTCTTTTGCCTTTTGGTTGGAGTCATATTTGAGACTTAGCACAGGATGTACATCTTGCCTCCAGATCAAGTCACAGTTGTCTTCTTTTTACCATACATGTGTATTTACAACTATTCTTCTCCCCTAAAAGAAGATTTGGTGTCAGTAAAAATGCAGCAGTTGTACCAAATTTCTAGTGGGTTTGCTTTCAAGCTATACAGCCAGGTGAAAATCCATGTCCTGTGGAAGAGGCTTAATCCATGAGAATTGCTAGAAAGGCAGGGCGACCCAGCTGCAATGAGACATAGCAAGTGACTTGTGTCAGCCAGGTTATATCTGGGAAACACTTGAAGTTACTGAGAGCTGAAGTGCAAATTCCAGGTGGGAGAAGGTTGGAGTGTTGTAAGTGTGGAGTAATGAATACTGTGGGCTGTCACTGTGGCCTCTCTTGACCCCAGCACTCCAGATTGTGTCCTGTAATGATTTTGATCTATGAAAATGGCTTCTGAGAAAGCTACTGTAAATTTCAGTTTTATTGTGACTTTCAGAAAAATTGTTTTTAGAAGGTTTTTTTCAATTGTTTTTGGTGCCCATACTATTGCAATAGGGGGAATGTTGGAAGATCACTCTGTGTAGCTGCTATCACCGTTTTCTCCTGCTTGCCTCCTGAGTGCTTTTCCTTTATGACTGTTGTAATGAACTGCGTATGAGGACCTGCCATTAACTACCAGCTTTTTTTGTTTCTTTGAAGCCCCGCTTGGGAGTTTAATCAGTAATCATGTATCCTGCCAAGTTGGTATCATGCTAGGAGGGCTGCTTGCATCTTCTGGACTAATTTTGAGCTCATTCGCCACCAGTCTGGAACATCTCTACTTATCATTAGGAGTCCTTACAGGTAGGATGCATTCAGCCCCTTTGTTGCTGCCAGGAACACAACACATGATGGGTGATCTCTTCATGTCTTATTGACACCCACTGGTCTAATAGAGATACTCAGACCTGTTCCCTTCATTGAAAAAGAGAGGCTTTGGCTGCCACTGTGAGAGCTTCAGCACACGCTGAGTCTCATGTAACCCAAATGCAGCACCCTGCAAAAGCAACTCTAACTTCTGTTAGAGAGAGGACTGTGGATAAAGTTCTGAAATAATGGGAGGTCAAGAAGGACTGCTGTTGCAGGTGATATATATAAAAGGTTTCCTTTTTTTGCCTGTGATTTGAGAGGAGTTTGTTAAACTAGGAGTTCTAGACTGCCCCAAAATATTTACATATTTAGGAAAAAAAGTTTAAATCAAAACATAGGAGTAAGTAAGAGGCAGAGGAGCACTGGGTGAATACCTGGCTCAGCTGTGAACCTGATTTTTGTCTACATTATATTCTATTTGAAAAACAAAAAAATTGCTGGTTGGTAGAATTGTTGTAGCAGCTCTTCCATTTGTGTTCCAGTACGGTGATAATAAATCTTTGCTCTTTCCTGTCTGCCCGTGTTTGTTGTGCACAGAGGAACTTGAGAGGGGCCCGTGGTCACACTGACATTCCTTCCTCATTAATACTGACCTGGTAGCCACGGTGATATAAGACCTTGTACTTGGTCCCTTGCTGTTTAGTAATGAGTTGGTGGAATTACTGAGGTTCACATGCTGCCAACAGCTTATTTGTTTAAAAAAAAAAATCCTTATTGTAGCGCATGTCACTCCTGTATTACAATGTTAATCTTTGACAAATGCGTTCATAACAAATAAAAAGGCTTCTTGTAACTTGAGGGACTGTGCCACATACCATGCTGCCTCTGAGGCTTCGTTACTGGGGTCTGCTGTGAATACTGAGGTGGAAAAGCAGTTGCACTTTGTACATGAAGTTGTAGAGAGCCAATTCGAAAAGCAGTGAAATTCTAGTATATGGGGACTGATTGACAGAGACATGAACTGTTGTTAAAGACTAGAGGTGATGCCCCCAACCCAGAGAGGAGGTGGGACCATAACGGGCGAATGTCTAAATCTGTAAAAGTTGCAGCAGTTGAAAACTGTGAAGAGTGAAGCAGAGGTGAGACAGAGGAGTGTCAATAATTAACAGTTCCTTCTAAGAGGTATGAAAATGTTTTCAGCCCTAAACTTTGCATTTGCACTTTTCACAGGACATTGATTGGCTTTTTTTGGGATGTTTCCCCCTGCCAACTCAGTAAAAAAATTAATGGCACGTATGCCAAATAGAGTATAATTTTCACAACTCTGAAGTGATGATGTCTAGCTCAGGGCTGCTCCTCTGGCTCTGGTGCCTGTACAGGTCCAGCTGCAGCTCTGTGCCCTGCTTCTTGCCTCGCCTCCTGAGGGGTGCCAGACCAGGCACCCGCCGCCTGGAGTCCCTCTAATCCACTTATTCCATCCTGGCAGGTTTAGTGCCTGTTTTACACAGTGTGGCCTTTGAGGAGGACGTGGCAAGCTGGTTACAGCACAGGGTGATTATCTCCGCTTTTGGCAGTCGGGTCTGTTTTACCCTCAATGTAGGACATGCTCCAAAACCCTAGTCAGGAACTCATTTCCATGACTGATTGGGAAAATTCAGTTTTAGTGTTAGAGCAACCACATGATGACTAAAATCTGCTCTCTGGTTCTGCAACAGAGACCACAATCTTTTTCTCAGCCCAAGAGATGAATCTTATTTGTTTACTCAACTGGATCTGGCTTTGTTTTCTGAGGCTTTTCTCCCCTCTTTACTTGTAGGCAGGGATTTAAAATGGTCAAGGCTCCAAGCAGCTGTTCCACGGAGTTTGTTTAGCTGACCAAGAAGAGTTTTTTGTAGAATGTTTCAGAGACCTGAAAATTAATGTTCAGGGTTGCAACAGACCAAAACACAAAGTGGTGCCTCATCAGGACAGTGTGTCCAGTGCTGACATTGGTGCAGACCCTGGGGCGAGACCTCATCTTGCATGCAAGAGAGCCTGACACAAAATTTCTCTGATGTTTAGTGATCATCCTTGTTATTAAGTGAACCCTATCAGTTATTTCTGAACCTTATTATCGTAGATTAGTGCTTATCAGTGAGGTTTGTCAAGACAGTGACTCTGCCACTGGAAGAAAGAAGTCATCCTAGTTTCTCGTTGCACTCTTAACTGGGCTGCATGATACAGAATCAGAAAAACTTTCTATTCATTTGTGCTAATGAAAATACGTTAGGTGGTTTAATTTAATATGTTCCATATGTCATGCTTAGTATTAAGCCATCTGTACTGTGCTTTCTCTTCTAGGACTTGGGTTTGCACTTTGTTATTCTCCAGCCATTGCGATGGTGGGCAAATACTTCAACAAAAAAAAAGCGTTGGCGTATGGAATAGCCATGTCAGGAAGTGGAATTGGTACCTTCATCCTGGCCCCCGTAGTCCAGCTCTTAATTGAGCAGTTTTCCTGGCGAGGAGCTTTACTCATCCTGGGAGGTTTTGTTTTAAACCTCTGTGTCTGTGGCGCCTTGATGCGGCCCATTTCTCTTAAGGAGGATCGTAAAACTGTTCCTGAGTTTCTTGAACAGGATCGTGTCCCCGAAACAGAGAAACAAGACTTAAAGCAAATGTCCGTCTGTTCACCTTTAATCAAAGTGTGGTCTCGTGACTGTTTATGCTACTGTTCACAGAAAGAATATGACTTTTTACTGATGCCAGGCTTCATGGTGCTGGCAGTGTCAGTTTTATTTATGGCATATGGATGTAGCCCTCTTTTTGTCTACCTAGTGCCTTATGCTTTGAGTGTTGGAGTGAGTCATCACCAGGCTGCCTTCCTCATGTCCATACTTGGTGTCATAGACATCATTGGTAATATCACCTTTGGATGGCTAACAGACAGAAGGTAAGGGTTTATAACTAAGCAAATGTAAGCTTTAGCTGGTGGGAGGCTGGATGCAAGTGAGGTAGCATGTGCAACTTAAAAAAAAAAACAACAGACAGTCTTAACTTTCAGAAATGCTTACTATTTAATGTTTTCATCTTTTCTGAGTTTGTTCAATTCTACTGGTTTAAGATCTTTTTTCCTGAAGAAATTATGTTTGTGCATTTGGCAGTGGAAATACAACTCCCTGCCTCAGGTATGTTGAGAGTGATTTTTTGTATCTATTTTCTAGAGGATTTCACCCTGCTTCCTCTGACTTTCCATCTCTTTTGTGCTGCTGGGAGGCACAGAAGTTATGGAAGAGGGTCAAGAGTCTGGCTCAACACTGTCAGGCACATACTCAGAAGGACTGACTGAAAATTGTTGTACATTTTTCAGTATGTAAGAACTCGCCATGCTTTGTGAACTCAGCTCACTTCAGACATCAGTGTACAGCAACTGTAAATCAGTAGATTCTGGCTAAATTAACAGGGATTTTGATTCTAAAGGATGCATTCTTTGTGCCTATTCAGTTTGTGGGAAAAATCAATCATTGACTTTGTGGAACAAGGAGGAAGGGAATTGCCATCTTGCTTAGCTCACGCTAATTCATGTTTAAGGGCTGATTGGAAGAGTGACAGCTAAAAGAGGTATACTGCAGTATTTTATGTATAATACTGGAACATCTTGCTGAGCTGGGATGCAAAGCCCAGTGAAATACTGCTTCAAACATTGAGACTTCAGAGGACTGCAGAATCCTGGCAGCAGGGTGGCTTCCCTCGGTGGGAGCATTCTGAAGAACACTGCAGACAGCATGGACTGCTGCTCGCCAGATGTTTCTGCAGCTGTAGGTGGGCAGCTTTCCCTATCCAGGCTCATCGGCACTGAGTTTTTAATCTTGAAGACTGTGTAATGAAATGGACTTAAATTTGAGAGAGACTGAAGCACTGCATGCCAGGGCATAGAAACTGAGATGCTTTGTTCAGTGATATTTTTCTTTTCTGTTTTGAAATTTGCAGGTGTCTGAAGAAGCATCGGTACTTTTGCTACCTCTTTGCTGTGGGAATGGATGGCCTTTGTTGTCTTTTCCTGCCAGTTCTCCAAAACTTCCCCTTGCTTGTGCCTTTCTCATTTACCTTTGGCTACTTTGATGGAGCCTATGTAACGCTGATCCCTGTCATGACAGCAGATGTAGTGGGAACTTCCTCATTATCATCAGCACTGGGCGTTGTGTATTTCCTGCATGCCATACCGTATCTAGTGAGCCCGCCTGTGGCAGGTAAGTTCCCAAATGACTTTCCTATGATCTTATCAGTACTTCAGATTTGCCTATTAGTGTGATGTAACAGGAGAGGAAGGACAGCAAATGCACACTAAATGTGGAGGTAACCTCTGAGTAGAGAACTAACACACACCTAGATCTTTGTAAGTCTTTAGATCTCCCATCCCTGTCTTGATGGGATAATTTCTACATATAGAGTGAGATGAAATTTAAAAACAAAATCAGTATGGAATGAACTTCTAAGAGCTCTTAACGTCACCACTTCACATAGTTTAGAAATTGTGCAAGTAAAAGGAGCAAAATATTACATTGTAAAATTAACAGATTTTGAAAATGTAACCTAAAGGGAGTTCAATTCCAAGATTTTTTTTTTTTTTTTTTGATGTGGAGGACTTATCTTTTAACCTCCAAACTGCTTTGAACAAGTGGGTGAGTCAGCTCCACTCCTGTTTGGTTGCCAGCTCATCACTGTAATATCTAATAATCATTTTTCCCATAGATTCCATTATAATGAAGTAAAGATGAGAGTTGTACTCCTATTAGTCTTTAGGAAGAACTTGACACAGTTTTAATATTGTGGAAGGTCAGAGATCTTTTTCAATCAGCCAAGTATATATATATGTCTTGCGTATTTTGTCTGCTGTTCACATCAATTCCCAATTAATCACTGCTTCTGAAGCTTTTTATTTTCCGTAGTAAAAATTATTGTAAAATAGCATGAGCCCAAGGCATAGCTCACTAATTGTTTCTTTATGAGGATCTGATGCACACACTATTTAATCCCAGGACTCTGTAAGCCTGTCTAAAGACTGCCAGTTAAATCCATGCAGTTTATTTAGTTTTGTGGTGATGACTGTTGTGCCTTTTCTCATGGATTTGAGATTTGAGGCTCCAAACAAGAGCCCAAAAAATCTTATCTGCCTGCTGAGGACAAATCCCTCCCTGCCCTAGGAGGAAGAAATACAGTGATAGTGATGTAAACCTGTATTGTTTGATTGCATTTATATGTGGTAACTTGTAAGTTTACAAGTTGATAAGTTTATAAAGCTCCCATTGATAACAGGATTTGGAAATTATCAGAATACTAATGGATCTTTAAAAACCCATTGTTTATTTTTTCCTACAGGTTGGCTGGTGGACACAACTGGCAGCTATACTGCATCATTCCTCCTGTGTGGATTTTCTATGATATTTAGTTCAACACTACTGTGCTTTGCAAGACTAGCAAAGAAAATCAAAAGAACACATTTGCGGTCACTCACTAGTGATACAGGCATGAAACAGCACATGTGGACAAACGGAGCAATAGCTTATTCTGTCACAGCAGAATTAGACCAAAAGGATGTTGAATTTTTGTCCGTGGACACAAACAGCTGCAGCAAGAGGTGACAAGTGCCATTGAGATTCAGTACGACACAGCCGTGACTGAGACAGAGGTGGCTCCGTAGTGTTACGCTGCTGAAGATACTACTCCTGTGAACCGAGGCATCTTTCAATTAGATTTTTCTGTCATGCTTTAGTTGACTGAAATCTACATACAGCAACAGTAATACCAAGTTAATGCAGTAATAGAAGAAAGCTAGAATGAAAATAGAGTTTGTAGATACAAATGTTCACAGATTTATTTGAAATGCAATGTCCACTCCACAGGTAATCAACAATTGGCTGTACTCAACAGAAAACGATAAAGTAATCAGTTACCAAAACTGAACAATAACATTTACATTATTTAAAAAATATTATTAATGACCCAAGCTTTTTGATGGTGTGGTCTAGTATGTTTCAATGGACTAATAACACACACCACCAAAAAACCTCCACATGTGATTTATGCTGAAAGTATCTCTGGGGCAGCTTTAATTTTTACAATGTGCCTGAACTTTGTACATACATTCCAATTTAATTTCAAATATAATTTTAGACCTACTTTCCCAAGCCCTCTACAGCAAAAAAAAAAAAAAAAAATTTTTCCTCCTGGATGTCTTTAAAGCTTGAATTTCTAAAAATTGAAATTCCAGATATGATTTTTCAGCTGATCCTTGTCTTGAAGGGTGGAAGAGGTACTGTGGAAGCTCTGCTATATGAAAAGGAGTAAATTTGTGCCAGAGGACTAGGTATGCTGATAGACAAACCTGCTTTAGCTGCATTAGTTGGAAGAATCCTAAAGGCAGCCCAGGAGACCAGAGGAGAGGCTCATGTGTTTTCAAATACAGAGGCTCTTGCTCTTGTAAAATCAGCAGCTGTTGGAGAACTTTAGAGTCCATGCAACCAGATGACTGAGCGACTGCTCCCTGTCTAGGCTATGAGTAAAGAGGATTGTGCTGTGTATTGCAGTGGCAAGTCTTTCTCCTTTTGGCCCCAGGAGCTGTATCTTCAGGTGGTGCAATTTAGTCGTTTGTGCCATCTGAAGAGATGTCAGGTCACTTGTCCTTGATGGCCAGAACACAACAGCTGCAACTTGGTGGTGGTTTCCTGCTACTTGTGTGAGGAATTCACTACAGCTGGCTGCTTCACAGGAGCTAGGGACTGAATGTAGATCATAGGTTAAATTACTGATCTAATAAATAATGGCATGTTTCTACATTTTCAGAATGAAAATGTTGTCAATAATGGAGGAACTTCACATTCTGCAATACAAATAATTTCAGTATTTTGATGCTGCATAAAGCTGTGTTCTGTTCATTAGCAAATTGATCAGAGTCCAAATAATTTTCATTAACACAGACCTAGCAGTTTTGTTAATCATCTGCAGTGTATTCCGTGGCTGCTCATGGTGTCCTTTTCCACCCTGTGCCTCAGAAGGGAAAGCAACATAGATTGATGTTCACGAAGCTGATTTAGATCAAGAGTACAGCCATAGGGGTATAATGTATTTTTAAATATATATATATATGAATAGGATGTGTATCAAGTAGTTTTATTATTCAAGCATATTTCAAATATAAAATATTAAAATTGTTTGACTTCAGTTGTCTGTGATTAAATAAAGCATTTCTCGCTGCCCTGCTTCAGAAGTGTAGTCAGAGCCAGTAGGATGATATATGTGCACAGACCACAGAATAAGAGATGGGAGTGCAAAAACTGCTTGAAGGTAATGACATAACCTTTCTTCAGCTCTGCATGAAAATTGTGTCCTGGTCCCTGATATTGTTTTTAACATATATTCATTAAAAAAAGACACAAATCCTCCATGAATGTTTCTTAGTGAGTTAGGAAAAATAAGCAAATCTGGAAAAAATGAAGTGGTTTTATTAATTAATACTGATGAAGATGTTTTAGATCTTAATGCAATATTTTAGTAGTAAAGGAGTGGGGCATAGTATGGTCTACAAAGAATATAAGTAATTTTAAACAAGTTATAACCACTGTTATTTACTTTACAAAAATTTAATTACTTTGTTTACCACATCATAACATGTCACTAGTTGTTCATGTCAGAGCTGCATATTGTAAAAGCCTATTGGAATATGGTGACATGCATTTTTATCATGTAAACTATACTGTGTAATACATTCGTAGCATTTTTAATTTTTTTTATTTCAAGATAATTTTTCATAGGCTTTTCCCTATATGTGTTTAAAGTAGTACTTCTTGTTTTAAATATCTTATTTAGCAACAAACATTCAACTGGTTTTATACACAGACCTTTTGTAGAAAATGGTAGAATTCTTTCAAGGTTTTCTAACACTTTTTCTGCTCTGACTTAAGTCAATGGGGAAAAGCTTATATACCAAAATGATGCTTTCTGTGCATAAAAGACACTGTGAAATACCAGCCCTGTCATGAATGTCCCCACTAAGAAACAGAAGGAAGCGTAACAACCTGCAAGCAGAAGTAATGGGAATACAATTCAGGCTGGTGAAACCTTACACCAGACTTCTACCTCCTAATCCACACAACCCAAGATGAACAGTTCATCTTTATCCTGCCATGTGATATATTTCAGGCAACGCATTGTAGAAGTCTCTGGCTTACAATATTTTTAAAGAATGATTCATTGTATCTGTAATATTTTTTCAGACAGGATAATAATAATATTTTTCAGACAGGCTGTCCTTCAAGGAGGAGATTTCCTGGCATGGCACAGTGCAGCAGTAAAGTGAGATAGCTGGGCTAGCTGTGAGCAATTTGCCAGGCTTACACTGCATGTTCAATGATCTTAGTGGTCTTTTCCAACCTTAATGATCATGTAATTCTATGTTCCTGCCAGCCCTGATGGATACAGGTATCGATGGATATGAGCTTGGATGGAGCACTGCACTGCTGAGCCTGTCTGGCTTCCCAGGGTAGCGTGGTTTGACTTGACTGGGGTAAGATCTGTCCGAGACAGGAACAGAAAGACTCTACCTCAGAAGAATCCTGCCTGGAATAATGCTCTGTTCTGTGCAGTAGATGGAAATTCAGTGTAAGTACTGCTTACAGCTGCTGAAGTTATGCCATCTGTTTCCATTCCATGAAGTTTGAATTGGGGTAGTAATAATTCTTTTGAAATTATTTATGTTCTAGAATTTATGAAATTATTTATGAAATTATTTATGTTCTAGTGATAATCTGGGACATTTAATAAATTGTACATTGAAAAATTGTGTGAAGACAACATTGGAAAAGTACCTTCCACTGAAGAATTGCTCTTTTTTTCAGAAGAAACATCCTTAAAGCATTCCTTTCAGCTTGGATAATAATTTATCTTCTGAAAAACAAAGGCTATTTGTGCTACTGTATGGGGAATATATTTTATATTGCCACAATAATTCCTTGTTTGCTTTCTAAAGTGTTACAAATTTATGTGAGAAGAAAGAGCTTGTTTAAGTTAAGTTGTTACAGTCCTTCATGGTCAGCGTAGCAAAGTCCTAGTTGGGATTGCCTCAATAAACAATGCCTTCTTCTAAGTGACTATTCTGGTATATTTCAGTAGAATTTTATATAATTTAGAAGGTGCTTTTGATTCGTAAATTAACACTTCCTGAAAGGTTATCTTTAATCATTTTTTCCCTGCACCACTAGCATAGTCTCCGGCGATATAATTCATACTTGGGTGTGAATTGAGAGGGGTTCAGCTTGTATGTGGTTCTGGTTTTGCCAATGGACTTGGATGCTCCAAACTGTCTTTCTTTCTTTTTTGTCCACCTCCCAAAGCTCAAGCTCAGCCTCTTCCCCATGTTGCTATGCCAGGCGGCGCAGCAGCACCACCCTGTGGGAGATAACATTTCTCCTCATTTACAAGACACACACAAGGCTCTTTGTACAGAGCATCCCCAGGTACTATGGCGGTCCAGCTCAGTCCTTCAGAATCTGAAGGAAGGGATGCACAACAAATACACTTCGTGCATCACTCTGTCCCACAGTCAGTGTATTTGCTGTGCAGAAAATTGAACCACTCTGACTCTTCATAAATATTCAGCTCACATTGTTTTTCAAAATAATTTCTAGTTTATCCTTTTTTCTTTGCAAGGTTTTTTTTCCAGGAGAGGTCCTGGTGGCAGCATGTGGAGGGGAGAATAGATGTGCCACCACCTCTTTCTCAAATCTTTCCCTGCTGTCCTCCACCCTCTATGCCCTCAGTAGGGTTTGGATAGCAATGATGCTGAGCTTAGAAATGCTCAAGATGGAGAAAGGCAGTGAGATCACCTAACATACCCTTTTGTCCACATAGCTGAGCACATCACCATAGGTAGTCACTAGTTCCTGACTTCAACCCTGCTGTTCTTCCTACCAGCTTCCAGGAGTGCTCTATCAGTCCTGCTCCCAGTCCTTCCTCTTCTCTCTCTTCACTGTTCCTTTCCGAGGTAGGGCTGCCTTTGTAAGAGAGAAGGTGGCAGGCAGCTGGGAAACAAGGATGGATTTTTCCCCAGCCCTTTCTTATGCAGAAGGTGTGGTTGTATTATGTACACTGTTAAGCTCCTGATCACTTTTGCTCGTATTATGAAAGAGTCTCTGAGGGAGAGCTGAGAAGGAAGAGGTTTATTCACATTTTCTGATCTGGCACTGTGCTTTGCACTCTTTCAGGCTTTCATTCTGTCCATACAGGGGCGCTGTTGTCGGGGCAGGAATATCGCAGGATGGCTGGGAACTAAAGGGCACAGCCTTCCTGACATGGGCTCTGTCACCAGTTTGCTTCATGCTACACTACTGGCTAGGGCTCAGAAGTGATTTGGAATTACAGCATTAGTTTTCCCTGAGCACCATGGTCTATCGTACGAAGGCACGCTACTGTGGAATTAGGCTGGGCTGTTGTAAAGAATATTGACTTTTAGTTAAATATCTGAAGATGATCACCTTGTCCACCCATTCTGTCATTTCAGCCCTTTATGCCATTCACCAGACTCTGGGGGCACCCACCCCACTTTCCACATGCCCCTTGCATTCTGCTGCCCTGCTCTCTGGTGCTCATGCAACTCTTGTCTCCAGCTGTGCTCTGCCCTCGGTGCCCACTTCAGTTCATTTCTTGTGTGTGTTTGCTACCCATGGCTTGTTTCACAACCACGGCCACAGATAGCCATCTCTTAGGCAGCTCAGGGACTGCCTTTCCTCCCTTTCCAGATGTTTGCTGTAGTGGCTCCTGATAGTGAGGTTTTGGGTAAATGAGACAGGTGCTGTTTTGTGCACAGTTTGATTCTCTGGTGCAATGCCTCTGAAGCCAGTTTTGCTGAGACCCCAGGGAAAATAAATGAGGTTATCTACTGAGTCTTTCATATCCTGCCAAAACTCTATCCCTGTTACTTTTTCAAATGGCCATTTTCCTTTTACCTAATCTACTAACAGGAAGACTGGTCAGCAGAGAGATACCAGAAGCAATACTTGATGGATTTAATACCCTTTCGTAGTTCACAACAATAATACACATTTTATAAGCTTTACAGTGAACAATGTTTTTTAATATTTTTCATAATTAAACAGCATACAAGTTAGTAAACTGAACAAGCCTTCAACAAAAGTTCCTTCTACAAAAGATATTTTTGAAATACTTGAAAAAGCATCAGAAATTCCATTTTGGTTTAAGCATGCCTTTCAACTATCTAGACAAAATACTACCATATGATTCCCTTATCTTTTTCTCAGTAGAAGGTAATATCTCATTTTTAGCTTAGAAGTTCTGTGTTCTACTGATAATCGTTTAGACCCACGTTAGCATTGAAGACCTAAGTTAGATGAGCTATTATTGTATAGCTATTATTATATATTATACGTTTCATTATATAGCTACCTAAGCATGCTCTCTGTTAGCAAATGAACAAATGAACACTCATCGTCTGCAGTTTCTACATTATGATCAGAAAGCGATACCACCCATGTTTCATCTGGTCATAAAGTCTACCTTAAGACAAAAACCAACCAACCAAACAACAAAAAAAGCTTAGAGAATCTCTTGAAATGTCCTTGGGTTTGGAGGTTTTTGGGTGTGAAGGATTTCTGTGAGCTTTAGCTTGAGATAGACAGTCGTAGCTCAAATAATGCATTCTGATATTCTTCATTATTGTGATCCAAAGCAATGGCTTTTTCATAGCACTCAATTGCTTTTTGTGTCTCACCATTTAGCTTATGAACGAGTCCAAGTGTACCAAAATCTGTTGCATTTCTTGAACCTCTCTCAACTTTTTGTCTTAACAATCTCTGCACAGCTTCACTGCACTTATTTCTTCCAAAGGACTCTTCTTTCATTTTCAGCCCTTCTATATAATACTCAATGGCTTTTGATACTGACCTCATGTGAAAACGCTGAAAATTGCCATAATAGTAGTAGAGCTCTTGTTTTTCATGACAGAGTAGATTATTTCTCTGAAACAGTTCCTGATATATCTTTTCTGCTTCTTCATATCTCTTGCCTAGTGCATACACGTTTGCTAGGCCAGTATGGGTAGCAACAAATTTTTTCTTTTGGTCTGCTGCAAATTTAAAATGAGAAATGGCAAGTTCAATGAGTCTCTCCACTTGATCTTGAGGTGCATTTCCTGATCTTTGCAATTGAAATACTTTTTCTCTGTAGCAGATTCCTAGTTGGTGATGCAAAAAGCCAGAATTTGGTGTCAGTGCTAGGGCCTTTTCCAAAATCTTCGCTGCCTTGCCCACTTCTCCTTTCCTTCTGTAAAATTTAGCAGCATATCGCAGGAAATAAGGAAGATCAGGGGTTTTTTGCATAGCTTCTTCAATGTACCTCTCACCTTCATCAACTCGATTTAAGTCCTGAAGTTTTAATGCAAGTAATGCCATGACACAAGTATCCTCTGGATTCAGTTCCACTGCCCGCTTCAAGGCCTCAGTGGATGGGCTTGTGTCTTCACCACATCTGGAAGCTAAATTTTCCCAACGATACAGTGCTGTTGCATAGCCGGCATTAAAATCTGGGTTATCGGGTTCATCCTTTAGAGCATTTTCAAAGCAATTCTTTGCTCTCTCATAGTGTTTCCCACCAAAACGTAATAATGCCCATCCTTGCTCAGCATAGACCTCTGGAAGCTGCATCTTCCCACCAGCAGTAATTGAAAGCTTTTTGCAGCTGTTTTCCACTTTGCTTACATAAGTTTGAGCTTCTTCATATCTCTCCATGTGGTAATGGATCCAGGCATAGTTCCCCCAGGTAACAAGACTTCTCCTGGCAATTTCATCTGGATGACGTTTTTGAACAATTTCTTCAGCTTTCTGGAGATTTCTCAGGGCTTTCTCATTTGAATTCTTTAGGTGACATATATAGGATAGTAGATTATAATCTGTTAGGTTAGATTCTGTGAAGTATTTGATCTGATTGACTATTGTTTCCTCTAGGTCATCAATATCTACATCCTGCTTCAGCAAAGTCCATGTAAAATGACATTGTAACTGCAGCAGGGAAGTCTTCAAGGAATGCTTGGAAATGGTACTAGAAGAAATCAAAGAAAAACATACTTATACTCTATTTGCCTTTTGCTATTCTTGTTTTTAAACCACACATGATATACTTTAAAGGCAGACAATACCTCACCTCATGCCCCTAGTCCACAACACTTCAAACAAGCCAAAGCTGTGGGGAGCCATAGGTCTAAAGTGCTGAATAGTTATTTTAGTAATTCTCCTTGCCTGTATATGAGGACATCTCTTACATTGCAACAGAGCTAGTGTTCTGCATGTTAGAGAGGAGGGCTGGTCTCTGTGGTAAAGCTGGCACACCTCTGGGCCTCAGAAACATATATCCTGTGCTGGGAACAATTGCTGAAGCCTACCCAAAAGAGGTTCTCTTAACATATAGAGAATGTGATTTAGTGCCTTTCCTATGTCTCTATACATTTTATGGTTTATGATATAAATTTAATTTTGAATTTCCTGCATTTATAAATCCTCATTTGTCAGATCACGGCACCATTCTTATCTTATAGTTATACTATCATACCCAGGATCTGGATCCCAGATCACAGCAGTCTCCCTGTTTGCCAGCATTTGGGTGTACAGGCCCACTCCACTTGCTGGTACAGACCACATGCTCACTCACTAACCCTATGGCTCCTCAGAAGCTGACTTTGGACATCCAGTGTCTGGTCAGGGAGCCTCTCTCTCTCCAGGTGCTTCACCCCTAAACAAACACACACACTTCCTGACCAGACCCTGTTTACATACAACTGGTCCTTAATACCCCTTTGTCCCTGTTGAGGTTTAAGCCCAGCTGGGAACTAAGCACTTTGCTGCTGCTCACTCATCCCCACTCCCCACCCTGGTGGAATGGGGAGGAGAATCAAAAGTGAAACTTGTAGGGTAAGATAAGAACAGTTTAATAATTGAAACAAAGTAAAATCTAATAATAATAGTAAAAAATGATAATAAAAGGGAAAGATAAATCTCAAGGAAAAACGAGTGATGTACGATACAATTGCTCACCACCTGCTGCCTGATGCCAGACCCCATCCCCACACCCCAATCAGTCCCTCTTCCAGGTAACTCTCCCAGTTTATATATTGAGCATGACATTCTATGGTGTAGAATATCCCTTTGGCTGGTTTTAGTCACGTGTCCCAGCTGTGCTCCCTCCCAGCTTTTTTTGTGCTCCTCCTCACTGGCAGGACATGAGACACAAAAAAGTCCTTGACTAGGATAAACATGACTTGGCAACAAACAAAACATGAATGTGTTATCCACATTATTCCCAAACTGCATGCACACAATCTTTCTGACTTTCTGTTTACAGAAACTGAACCTTGTTGGAGAAGCAATAACATGACAATATTCCAAAGCATCCTTATTTTATTTTGATTCTTCTAGTAAATATTCTGTAAAATATTTTCTGTTGTTTCAATGCTCAAAGTCCCTCACTTGTTACATTTATGTAAATAATAAGCATTACTTTCCTGTGGCATAGAGAAAAAGCATCTTTCAGGGACTGGGTTGCTGTCTTACCTCATGGTTTTCTTTTTCTGCTCACTTGTCTTCAGGTAGCTTCAAAGCTGAAGGAGTGCTGCTCACTGTTGTTATGCTTCCCATTTTATAGAATCCAACCATCATGTGGTCTGTGACCACTTTCACGGGAAACAGAAAGTGAAACTTCAGCTTTTCTCTGAGTCTGCCGAAGAAGCAGAACAGTCTGCAGTTGGAGAATCGAAACTGCTGCCTCACTAAGCTGCTCTTTTTCAGCCTGGCTCTGTGCCATATATTACTCTGTGTTGTGGAGAATGTGGCAAAAGCTCCTAGTGCTTCCAGCATTTACTCTGTTCAAAGGCAGGGGTATCTATGCTAGGGGGAATATTTCAGTCTAGTGTGGGCTGACCTGGTTATCATGTACAGGCTCGGGAAGGGTCATTTCCTCCTCTTACCTCTGCACCTTTGCACACCTACGTCATGCTTTAGGCTCCTATTTTATTGGTGTTGGGTCATGCATGTGAGCACAGCCCCTGCCTGTTCTCCTTCATCCTGTGCCTCCGCATCACAAGGTCTCTGCTGTTGTACCAGGCCTGTGTTTCTCTGGACTGTGTCATTGTCTGAGAGTACTCAGACTCTCATCCCACCCGCAGGAAATATTTGTCACTTCTCCCTACATAAACCCAGAGTTAACCTTTCGTAAATCAAGTTCAGTTCAAGAAACTGCTGTCACAGTTGTGCCAAGCAAAACAAAGTCACAGGTGGGTCAGGACAAGGTCAAACTGAGCAGACCTGGCAAGCCTCAGTCCCGAGGCCATGCAAACTCAGTGCAAAGCTTATGGCCTGTTGGGAGCAACAGCAATGCTGTGTTACAGGGCTACACACACGGTAACAAAGAGAAGGGCACATCTTGGGGACTGGAGTATCTATGGATATGAACAACTCACTGATGCTTAGTTTAAAAAAATAAAAAATGCAGACTGGTTTTGTAAAATTTGTTCTGTAAGTAAGTACTTTAACGGCATTATTATTGCCTCTTTTTTTAATAATTAGATCCAGACTAATTATAATTCTTGCATTAGACTATTTATTACTATGTAATATGCTACTTATTGATTGTAGACTGATTTTTATTGTAGTAACAAAAAAAACCTTTATCTATATAAGATTTGTTTCATCTTTACCCAGAAATATCACAGAACCTCTCTCCATTCTTGAATCCATTCAATTTTTAAACATGAGAGCATCTTGTTAAAAAACATGTTTAATTTTTAATTTGAGGTGTCCCCGCTGCCCTTTTTTGTAGGAATAAGCAAAAAAAATGCATATAAGGCTGTCTCAATTGGCTTCTTTTGTGAAGTTTTTAGTGGAGGATGCGCAGGTTGTCCCTCTGTCCTAACAAGCCAGAAATCACTTATATCAAACCTCATTATCACCTCAGAACTGCTGCTGCTGCCATCATTTTCAATCTCTGCAACCACAGACAAGAATTAATGGTATTCCATGTTTTTATTTATAAATTTATGTAACCTCTGACTGCCAATTTGTATGTTTTTGAGAACTGTAGGTTCTGGCTTATAAAACTTTATCTTCTGTGGTATGAACAGTCTCTATCCCCACTTTCCCACATATGTAAAGCAGAGGGAACCTCTGGATCTGGTGGTAAACTGCACTTATCCTCTGGGTTTGGCCAGGTTGTGGCTCTGTCCAGCTGGCTCCAGTGACCCTGGGCTGTTCGGGGGGAAGCTGGGGTAGCCACTGGGGAACTGCTCTTTTGGGGACAGCTCCTGGCAGCATGAGTTCCAGTCGCATGGAGTGAATTCCTGGCAGGCAGCGACTCTCCAGGACAAGGCTGTTTTTTGCCTTTCCCTCTTCTCCTTCTTTTCCCTCCTTTCCCTCTTCTTCTTTTTCCTTCTTTCAAAACAACACAACAAATCGGTCTTACTTAGAACTTCTGGTTTGTATCAGAATCTGGAGAGCCTTAGTAACACACACACACACCTCTTTGTGTCTCATCTGAGTGACTGTGTGTATATGTGTGTGTTCAGAGGGGTTGTTGGAGTTGATGTTTCAGAGCTCAAGAAAAAGGTTAGTACAGCTACTACTCTGAATAAACTTCAAGGTTCTAGCAACCAGGTATTTGATAAGTGATGAAAAGAGGCAGTGAATTGAGAAGGAAAATGGATTAGAGTATCTACACATATTCATGTATTTTATGGAAAATAAGTGTTGCAGGTAGTTGTAGAAAAGTGTATTTATAAGGTTTCTGAAATGCCAAAATCAAATGTGGACACCAATGATTCATTATGCTACTAAGTATCTCTGGATTTCTGATCTCTCCTTCTGACCCAGGTGTCTGTTGTCTTTGGTATATTGCTTGGTACATATGGGAAAATGCAGCAATCTTCCAGCTGGAGTGCAAAAATTTGCTCCAGTTTCCTTGTTTTTTATAAATTTAGTTGCATCTATATGCTATGGTCTGACACAAACGCCTATTAAATAAAATAAATGCAGGAAAGTGCTTAAAATAGAGTAAGAGAACAGTTATGCAATGCCTTTCTGCAGTCATCTTTGTAACTTGGTGGGCACCGCACGGGAAAATTCATAAATCCTCCTACATCCCTGCTGGTTTCAGTTCAGGGAAAGCTGTAGCTGGGCTGACTGCCATCAGGGAAAGCTGCATTGCATAGCAGGAAATGCAGAAGCTTCTTCTTGGAAAACACGTGTCCAGAAATGGGTGGGGAACAACAACTGCATTCGTATTTTATACAAAGACTTTACTTGAGTGTTCTGTACATACACAAGAATAGGAAATGGCTTCAAAAATATCTACACGTTTTGTGGGAGAAAACTCATATCTGGACATTTCCTTGGAGCTGAAAAGGATACTTGCTGACAAAGAATTTCTCCCTCATATCATTAGCTCAGCCAAATAATTGCCTGAAATTTTCATTATTAAAATAATGTAAATGAATAATACCATTAAATGGTATGAATGGTATAAATTACAGGATCACTTTAAATATCCTATATTATGCAGGTTTCAATATAGCCTAAGTTAGTATATAATTACTACATTTGAAAGCAGCAGCCGTGGCATTTTATAATTTGAGTTTTCCCCTAGGAAGGAAGAATGCTCTGTAATTAATTTGACAAAACAACCCAAGTGAATCGCCGAGCAATATTTTTGTTACCCAAGTTCTTTAAAACCAAACAGTCCTAAGAAATGGGATCCAGGAATGCAAAGGATCACATAGTGTCATTTTTATCTACTGACATATCAACACATCAAAACAAGGGGATGCTATGAAAATTTCAATGATTTTTCAACTAAAATCTTAATGCTTTCTAAATAAACAGAAACATTTTAGTTCCTGACACCCTCCTGCTCTACCGCTGTGTGTTTAGTATCAGGTTTCTGTATTATTCTATGGATATGGGCCTGGCCTAATAACATGAATATTTATATTAAAGGATTGAATTTGGTCCAAGTTTTTTCAAGCCCAGTCACATATTCCCTGACCACAGACACGCTTCTCTGGGAAATTATAGCTACGCAATGCAGTGCCTGCCAATTAGTTGCCTCAGGTTTGCAGGAAGCAGTGATGATAACCCTGCTGTAACTGCGTGCCGGCGTGTAACTTAAGCCCGTTTGTATTAGGTTTGCTATGTTTAGACGATGCTCACAGATGATGGACGAACGATCTGTTTGTGTAAGAATGGCAGTGATTGCTGGCAACGCTGTACAGTCCTCAGGAAGGACCGGCGGCTCCCGAGGCGCAGGTACCCGGCACGCTGGGGAGGCATCCCCGGGATGCTCCCTGCGGACAAAGGGAGAGCCCGCGGCGGGCGCGGCTCATCCCCTCCCTCCTCGCTGCTGCCGCCGCTTTCTGCCTGGGGCCTGCTGCGGGCCGTCAGGAACAGAGAGCAGACCCTCGCAGGGCGGCTCCGTGAAGGCTCTGCAGGCTCCGGAGTGCGGGCAGATGCAGAAGACGAGGAGGGCTGGGAAGCAAGTCCACGGGCGCCGTTCCGGAGGCTGAGCGGCTCCTGCAAATGGAGCCCAGGGGGAGGCGGGGGGATCCAGATGGTATTGCTGGAGAAACGCTGAATCACGGCGGCTCAGGCGGCCCAAGGCCGGGCGGGCGGTGCGGGCGGGCCCCGCCGCCCATAGGCCGCGCCGCTGGGCCGAGGGGCGGCCGGGCCGGCGCCTCCTCCCGCCGGGCCATCCCCGCGCCGGCAGCGGCGGCGGGCGGGGCGCGGGCGGGCCCGGCGGGGCTGCAGCCGCCCCTCTCCGCCCAAAGCACCGCCGGGGTGTGGGACACACCCCGCCCAGCCTCGCCGCGCTCGTCACGCCGCTGGGGCGGCCTCCCCGCCCTCGCCCCGCCGGCCGCGCCGCTGCCCCCGCCCCTGTCCCGGAGGGGCGGCACATAATCCCCGACCGGCCCCGCTCGCAGCCGTGCCGGGTTCTGCTTCCCCGCGGTGTCCCGCATCGTTCTTGCAGGACCAGGATGCGGGCCCTGGTGGTTGCCGCTCTCCTTTTGCAGAGCATCGCCGGCTCGGGCGCGTTCGCCGCACGGAGGAGGAATGTGGACCCCGAAACCAACATGAACATCGTGAGTGGCGCGGCGTGGGGAAAAGTGCTCGAGCCTTGTGAGCGGGCGCGGCCGCGGGCGGTACCGGGGCTGTGCCGGGGCGAGGAGCGGCGCAGAGGGCGCTGGGCGACCTCGGCAGCCGCGGAGAGAGCCCCGGAGGCTCCGGCCACCTGTGCGCGGCCAGCCCAGGGCTGCAGCTGCTCACACCCGCTGCTTACACCTCCTCTTTCTCTTTTCCTCTCCTCCTTCGAGGTCCTTCTTTGTCCCCTATTGCCTGTGGCGAATCTTTCTCTCACATATTGTCTGACGTAGATCTATGGTTTTTTTGCCAGAGTCCGGACATTCTTTCTTAACTGCTAGAAAAGCGGATGTTCATGGAGCACACTAGTGCTCTCAGCGCCGCGGTCGCGTGTTCTTATCCAGAACTGCTTTTCTCCCCATTTACTCTCTTAACTTCATTCTCCTCCTGCTGCAGTAGCCAACTCGTGAACGTATTTGCTGTTGGTAGCTGTTGGTAACTGGTATTAGTTGCTCTTTCCTGTGCCCCATCTAAACTGCGATTTTTTTCACATGTGCGAGGAGATACTTTAAGCTAGAAATGCTCGAAGTCTTTGAGAATAGAAGTGCTTGGATAATGCAAATACAAGGACTAAAAATAATCATTTAGTCTAAGGCTAATAGCATTTGAATAGAAGCTAGCCTTGAAATCATTTTGGAATGTTAGTGTCACTGTGGATAATAAAAGATATATTTAAAAGAAATAGCATGCATAATTAAATTCTCCTCCCCTTCCTTGCCCAGCAGTCTAAGAGTAGAACTCTGATCATGTCCTGCATTTCTTACATTTTCTCAAGACAGGCTGATGTCATGAAACCAGTTGAATAGCAAGCTCACTGCCCTAATGGAGTTGCATCAAAATAAAATAACAGAAAGCCCAAGATATAAGAGATAGAAGATAAAACTAATAATGAAATTATAGGGTTAAATGAGTGTAGAGATTTTTATTGTTATTTTCTTTTTTGGTTTGTCAACAAAGTCACTTAAAGCTCTGCAACAGACATAAGGCTTGAGGAGAAAGGAGAGAAATGGCACATCCTTTTCCTTCCATATGCCGCAGTGGTGCCAGCCAGTTTTTTCTGCCCTCACTTATTTAATACCAGAAGATACTTGTTTTCTTGAGAGCAAACAATTTAAATTTTTGTCTGCCAAATCTGCATCTCGGTGTTTTGTCCTGTTACCATAATCTCCTTGTCAAAACTTCCATCTTCTTTCTTGCCGTGAGCACCATGTGGCTAGGGACAGGCTAGGGAGTCCTCTCAGATTCCTGGGATAAGGTCTGTGCGCTGGCTAGTTTCTGACTCTGTACTGGAGTAAGTCTCATTAAGAAAACCTGCCTGCATTGAATGGGCAGGTGGTATTGCATATTCCTACCACATCCTTTAATTTTGCATTGCTGTCTTTAGAAGAAACCCAAAGTACTTTGCATATGTTCCTGGACTGAGGAGCCTGACAGTCTGGCTCCAAGATGATTTCTTTTCTTTCCTCAGAGCGAAATTATCACCTTCAGGGGATACCCTAGTGAGGAGTACGAAGTGACAACAGAAGATGGGTATATCCTTTCCATTAATAGAATTCCTTATGGAAGAAAAGGCCATGAGGGAGGCAAAGGTAAGATTTCTGTCCATTTGGAAAAATGGGAAGTAGTGAAAAAGCTCAATTGATTTATAAAACTTTTGCTCCTGTAATAATCCAGAAAAAAGATTAAAGACTACATGACCTATGCAATTAGAAGGTTTTATTGGTGAATGTTGTGGCCAAAATAGATTAGGCACTTGTAGAGTGGCTTGAATAAAGGAAGGGAAAAGGATTTAAAAAGCTATGTTTTCCTGGCATTATCTTTTTGTGTCATTAATACAAAGCTGTTCATGGTTGGTTGATTTTTTAATTTTTTTTTTTTGGCAAGTAAAAAATAAGGGTTTAGATTTGTTGGGGTTTTAAAGTGATAAAGTCTCCTGAAAAGATGTTGGTTGTAACATTGTTGGGTTATTTCAACCCCCATTTTTAAAAATGGTTCCTCTTAACAAGTAGTTTGTTTAAAATGCATGATTGTTTTCAGAAGTAGGGCCAGATCGTGTACCTCTTTTGGTGCAGTATAACTGAACTGCAAGAGTTCTCACTAGAATGTTCACAAAATAATTACTGCTTGATTTTTGCATAAAATAAGAATTTATTTCTTAAATTTAACCTCTCTGAAGCTCCCTTTTCAGTAAGGTACAAGCCAGACCAATACTGCATACTACTGGGATGTCATATTTCACACAGCTGCTTAAATAGGTTAAAAAAGAAAAGGATAAAATTGCTTCAGAATATCTTGAGTACAAAACATTTAAAAATATATTGCAAATTAAGATGTGTAACAGGTAGTTGATGTCAGTAACCCCCAGCCAGGTTGTTTTATGGATGTGATTTGATGAGGCCTTGGGAGAGCGTTGGCACATGCTACCAGAGTGCTGTTACAAGCTGTAAGGATTACTGTGAAAGCTGATGTACAACCATGGAAGAGATGCAGGAGGTGTACAGGTGAGGAGGCAGGGGAGAGAAAGGATAGGAGGAATGTAAGCTCAAACTTATAAGGGAGCAATATGGGCAAAGGTTTTAGTGAGGACTGGATGATGAAATGCTTTAAAAATGAGACAAATGGATGTGGAAGAGGAGAGACATGTACCCTTTGACTTGCTATGCTCATACACTGCATGTGGTGTTAACAGACTATGTGAACAAGTAGTGGCTGAGTTTGGTATCAGTCTTGACACCATCCCTTATAAACATTCGTACAGAGATTTGTACAACAGCAGCCCATTTGAATAGAAACTGTACATATTCTAAGCACTGCCTTAGAATGCTTTGGACTGAAAGAAGTTAGGATTAGGGATAAAATCATGGAGCTCAAAAAAGAAATCAGTGATTGTCCTATAGCCTTGATGTGAACAAGACTCGTGGAAAAACCCTTTCCCCTGCCAAAGGCCAATCAACAGTCTTCCTGACCTTACCTGTTGGTTTGGTGTGGGTTAGGATGTTTGCATTGTCCATTTTCTCTCACAAAGGGTGTGTAAAGATCAGTGCATGGATGAGGCCCATCAAACTTGGCAGGTGTCTTTGTACTTAAATTCAGAGAAACCCACAGGAAAAAGACAGGCTGCCTTTGTACCTGTTGATTTTGTTGAATCCTTCATTGATGACATAAGCAAACAGAAGTTTCCTGACCTCTGGGAATTCTCCACATTCCCCTTGCCGCACCCTCGACCCCAAGTTCACGTTTTGCAGAGCGCTTTAATTTTAAAAACAAGGATTACTGAGCACATTTGTGGAAGTATGAGCTCCTGCGAGAATGAAGATTTCAAAGTTCATGTTGATCTTCAGTTTTTATAGACTTGGTATCTTTTCTCAGAAAGATACCAATGATGTGTTACTGCTGACTTAGCGTATATATGCCGTATTTTTCTTTTGCAATACCTGCATAATGTGAATAGGATCCCTTGGAATTATGTATCACATGATGTTTTGGAACGAAACCCACAGTTCTTTAGGAAAAAAAAAAAAGAGAAATGTCCAGAGAACCTAAAAGCAAAACAGGGATGATTTTTGGTTTTAATATTAAAGAAAAACCTAAACCAACTGCACAGCATGGGTAAGAAGGGCATGGAAATAAGTCTGTCTTCAACTTCATGGGTTTATAGTGAAGAGAACAAAATGTTCTATGCAGAAAGGGTAGTTTAAGGCCCTGCCTTTTTTATTCCCCCTCTGGGGTTTTTGGGATCACAGGTGATAGAAAATAATTATTATCATCCAAGTCACTTTGCCATATGATTGTGCAATTCACGTGGAGATCTGCTGACTACTTAGTAAAGTGAAAAAGGAACTGGCAGGAATTGGAGGTTAACAGGAGAACAGAATTAAAGCGTTGAAGCAGTTAAACAGTCTTCCCCTTCCGATGTTATGAAACATGGAATAGCAGCTTGAGGAGAGCCTATTCTTCAAAAAATCAGAAGCTGGTTTATATAAGTTTAGTAAAAGGGAAAAAGGTATCAAAGCTAAAAGGGAAACAAATTCAGTGTTAGGCTTGAAAATCCTATTAATATCAATTAATATTACTGCAGCAGAGTAAACAGTTGTGTTGAACGGTACTGTCTCTAGAGCCAGTTTGGCATAGCTGGAGATTTGCTCCACTTGTTTCACAATATGCATCGTGGGCTTTTCTAACAAAATGAGAAAAACAGGCATTCAAAAGTTTCCCCATGACAAGTATAAAGATTGCCAGAAAAGGGGAATATTACTAATTTGCCTTTTGGAACTTGCAGCAAATATTTATGGACGTGACCTGGAATGGAGGGTATAGGTGACCGAAACAGTTTTGATTTGGCTGTTTCTGCTGAAAGATCCAAGTCTGAATTATCAATGGAGGAAGCATTGTGTGATTCTGTACTGTAGAAGAGCGATGTGTCATTGGAGGTTGTAAATTCCTGTGTAATCTCTGGCATTGAGATAAAGTTATCATGTTATCTGATTTCAGTTATTAAAGCAGAAGTAAAACCCAAAACACCTGTATCACTATGAGAAACAGAGACAGGTCTTTGTATTTTCTGAAGGTCATGTTTCTCCTAAAGGATTAGATGTTAATTTATTTTCCTTGTGTAGAAGCAGGAACCTTGAGTTTTTAGATCTGTATTCCACATGAAGGTGTCATTTACCTTTTCAGGGTGGGGAAGTCAGAAGAGGGTCTTCCTACCTTCTACATGCGTCTTAGCTGTGTTTATTAAAACTAAAGTCAAGAGGAGGAAGTCCTTTGAAATGCAGATTATTTTTTTGGCTATTGTACTGGTCTTGAGGTTCTGCCAGAGCTTTGGTAATGGAAGGGAGTTGTTGTATAGAGATAATATCAGTACGAGTTGCAGAGATTTCCAGAGCTCAGCGCACTTGTTTGGCATTGTCTTAACTGGAAAACAAAGATCTCAGTAGCACATATGTGGCAATGCCTTCCCCACGTGTAGGAGCAGGAGAAGGGTCCAAAGTAGTTTAACAGCCTCTGTGTTTGGGCCATTTGGCTTTGTCCTTGTGAGCTTGAAACAGTTGTAAGGGCTACCTGTATTTTTTTTTGTAGCTCCTGCTTTTCTCCTTTTTGCTTCTTGCATATTTGTTATCTGTTTTGAGCTTCAAGTTAGGAAACTAACAAGCTGCTAGTTCAAAATCCTTAGTGATAAAAAGTAGCTTTTGTGAACAAGCGTGTGATTTCATAGCATTATGACATAGCAATTATACAAATTGCTAGTCTTAGTAGATGAAATAAAGTGAATTAAATACTCAAACTGCAAGTCTAAAACAGACTTGCAATGGCTCACTTGAATTACTCTTAGGTATTCAATTCCAAATGAACAGGAAGCTATGATAAATGCTTTATTTTTCAGGTCCAAGGCCTGCTGTGTTTCTGCAGCATGGTTTGCTTGCAGATGCCAGCAACTGGATCACAAATTTGGATTACAACAGCCTTGGCTTTATGCTGGCAGACGCTGGCTATGATGTATGGCTGGGAAACAGCAGAGGGAACACCTGGTCCAGGAAGCATACACACTTCACAGTGAAACAAGAAGAATTCTGGGTTTTCAGGTATCCTTGTCTTGCTATCTTCAATCACACTGTGAAGGTACAAAATATTTTTTTCTTGTTACGTGTGCTGTCACATATGTAGGGGCAGCAAAGGGGAGTTTTGTGGTCAGCTCAGTGTGCTGAGATTCAGAAGTGGTCAGTAGAACATTAATTGCTTTCACCAGTGCTTGGTGTGAAGACTCTAAAACCAGTGTTCTGATTCAGCCAAAAGAAGTGTTTCTTTATGTCCAGACAACAGTGCAGGGAAGCTCTGTGCAGCTGTTTCTCACTGATAACTTTACCTACAGAACTGACTTTGTCTTTGCTTTGTAGCTTTGATGAAATGGCTAAGTATGACATTCCAGCCTCAGTGGACTTCATTTTGGCAAAAACTGGCCAGGAACAAGTATTTTACATTGGCCATTCACAAGGCACCACAATGGGTATGTGAAGAGATGCATTTGTTAGACTATACTGTGTTTGAAATGGGATTAAGTTCCACATATGTGGTTTAATGATGAAAAAGTAGGGCTTTTGAAATCTACTGCTTCTGGGTTTTAGCTGCTTCCTGGAATATTCATCAGCATTAAAATGAAAATACTTAACCTTTTGTGTTTACTTTAAAGTGGAAGGGTGTTGAAATGATAAAATCAAGTCATGGGTATCCAGCAGAATGGCTTCTATTAAAACAAATTGATGAGGTGTGCATAACAAAATTAGACTCGTGAGACACATAGAATTAAGATTCTTGTTTCCAGAATATTTTGCTGTATGTAAGGCATGTGCTTTAGACCTTCTAATAGAAAGAGTTAGACATGTTGGATGAGTAAGCATTAATTTGCTTTTTGGAAGCATTTAATTTGTGTTTTGTAGTAACTAGATTAATTTACATTATCTAAATTGATCCTAGATACTACAATCAAACTATTAATCTAAAAATACTTTGGCGCACTTGTGCACAGATTTTTGTAGAATTCCTACCGGTAAAAAAAATCTCATCTAACTTGTGACAGTGAGGTTTGTTAATTGTTCTTACATTGTTTACAGCTTTCGCTGCTTTTTCAACTTTGCCACAGCTGGCTAAGAAAATCAAAATGTTTTTTGCCTTGGCACCAGTAGCTACAGTCAAGTTTGCCACTAGCCCTCTGGTAAAACTGGGAGAGTTTCCTGACCTGCTACTCAAGGTTTGTATTTGAGTGTAAATGTTTTAAGCCGAATGAGCTATGCCCCTTTCTAGTTGAAAATAGCATAGCAAAGAATGAGTATAGAGAGTAATATATAGAGAGTAATGTATGACAAGAATTCTGAGTCAGTTTTACCATAATGATGCTTTTGAAGTCAGCAATGGCTTCTCTGACTTTATTACTGTCTAGTGAAACAATTTGCATTGGTTTAAAGTAGTATTTTACAATTACAACTTAATAGATAGAATAAAAATATGTTTTTCCATTAACATTTTTCTAGAATTTAAGCTACTGAAGTCACGATTGATTAAATAGTTGCTCTGTTTTGGAAGAGTCATATGATATGTTTATACAGAATACTTCCGAATTGTCATGCACTTTAACAGATTTGTTTCACAATTAGCCATCTCGTATTGGAAGATGATCCTTCAGAGGGTGATTAAGAGCAGCAGCTTTATTTAGATGCTGTGAATCATCCTCTGGAGGATTTTACCTTTTACCCATTAACATCAAGGGGAATGTAGGCAGGCTGCAGTAAGTGCCTGAAGTCAGACATTGTGAACACCCTGCTGTGTGTCATTTTTAACCATCACTTTCTTGCCACCACCCATGGAGATTCCCACACAAAGCTGTTTGTTCTGTGATATAAACCCTCCTTTGATGTACCTTGTACTGATTTAATGTGTTGTCTACATTATTAGTTCCCTGCTCCAAAGGCAGTTAACATAAAAGGGACACTAACAATTGTGATCTCCTGTTCCTTGCATAATGAACTTTGCCAAAGGAGACTAATGGCTGATCAGTGCCCTGTGCAGATGTTCATGTTGTGCTGAGGAACTTGATTCTCATGATGACTTGCAAAAAATGGATTGCTTGGAGTTCCTCAAAGTGACAAACCCATGGGTCAGTCATAGCTTTATAGAGCTGTCACTTTCAAGGAAGTTCTTAGTGAGCTATTTTAAAATCCTTGAACGTTTTAAAAATATCCATCAAGAGGAAGGGGTCACCACAGCTTGTGCAACTTGTTTTTTTCTCATGGGTTGAAGAGAGGAAGTTGCAAGTACAAAGCCATTTAACATTAGCAGACACAGCTTAATATACTTTAGCCCTTAACAATTCTGATGACAAGAAGCTGTACAGTGTTCCTGTAAAATACTGAATTTAAATTTTATTTGATTTTGAGGGTAGGTTTGGAATTCTTGCAAGATTTTACCAGTTCCCATTTACTTTTCATGGGGTTAATGGACTGCACACTTTGTAGCAGAAGCATTAACTGTGACATTCCCATGGGACTGTAAACGAGGCTGATAAGGAGATAAATAATTTTCGTAGGACACATCTGTCACCAGTGCAAATGGAAATAATTACATCAAGAATGTTGTAGTGTAAAAACTGAAAACATGTAATTCTATGCAATTACCTGTTTGTCCTGTCTGTTTGTTATTTTGTAGGACATGTTTGGAAAGAAGCAATTCCTCCCGCAGAATTCTGTGCTGAAGTGGCTTGCTACCCATGTTTGCACCCACAGAATTCTTGATGATCTTTGTGGCAACTTATTCTTTCTTCTGTGTGGTTTTAATGAGAGAAACTTGAATATGGTGTGTTCTAGTGACCTTTTTTTAATAGCTAAGTTATGGTGAACTCTGACACAGTATTGACTGTGTGTCGCTGTACTGATGGACCTTTAGTGTAATTAGAAAACCACTAATGCTGCCTTCATCATACTGAGTTTGGATTAATGTCTTTCCTTTGTATAGGTTAGTTCCCCAATTGGGATGGATAGAATTAACCTTTTAAAATGTTACTGGAAAACTAAAATACATTATTTCAGATCTTTTGGGGAAGAGAATCAGAGAAATTAATTAATATGATGGGGCAAGTATTTGCTTCCTTTTGCAAGGAACTGAGGAATAAAGATATAATTTTCAACTTTTTAAGAGTACTGTTGAAGTTTTCTGGTCTCTTGGTGAATGTATGCAATTAATTTTTCTGAGACCAGTTTCTGACTCTGCTGATGGCTTCATCTGCATCTCTAGTTTCAAAGGATTTGTTCACAGAACTTGTTTTGTTATCTAAAAGCTGGTTAACAGCAAGTGGTGTGAGACTGCATTTTTTTCATAGTGCTTCTTAAAGTGTTTCCAGCTCCCTGAAATCAATAAAAACTGATATCAGTTTAACCACAGGTAGATGAAAGCTGAGAATTTTTTTTACTGGAGTGAGATAATTATCTTTTTTTAATCACTCTGTATGCAAAAGCGTACATTTTTTATAACCTATATCAAAGTAAAAAGTACAGTTTTTCAGTGTTTCCTTGCCCAACACGTATGGTTTTCATAGTTTTAATGGTTGATAATATTTTTTTTCTGTTAGGATTTAAGTTTCCCTGTGCTACTCTGTACTTCTAAATAAAAAGTGTATGAAGCTCTGAACCACTTTGGACTGACAGCTGCTAGTTTAAATGTAGAGTAGCAACATTTCTGGAGGTCCATCTAAATATTAGTTATGTGCACCCAATTCTTACAATACCAGCACTCTCTTTTCTAAATATATAAAAACTTAAGGGATATCATTATTAGGTTTAAAATTCAGCTTTAGTGTTCTGCAGTTAATTGTAGTTAATCCCCCAAATGTCTGAACCTTTTATCTCGTTTATATTTGTGGTTCCACTTAACTTTTGTTTATAACGGTGTTAAGAGGAATGGAATAGTTTCTGTTAGTTGTTCAGGAAGCAACAATGAGTAGAACTGATGCACTGTGAGGAATAAAACATGTTAATTATCTTGTTGCAGAGCCGAGTGGATGTGTATTCGACACATTGCCCTGCAGGAACGTCTGTCCAAAACATGATCCACTGGAGCCAGGTAGAGTTTGCAGAATCTGAAATGTCTGTGATTCTAGCTTGTTTTTAGAGTATTGATGCCTCTGATATTTAAACAGAATAAAATGCCAAAAATATATGTGCAGCATAGCCCAAGTGAAATTTGGAACTGTCAATTGTCAGAACAGCAGGTGTTGTCTTTTTTCATGGTAAGGACTTGCAGTGGTTCACCTCTCTTCCCTATTTCTTTGAAAATACGCTAACTGTAAGTACTTCAGGCCAACAAAAAACACAACAGAATAACTTAACTCACAGAGATGCTGTAACAAGTATTTGTTGCCCTTTCAGCAAACCCTGTTTTGATTACAAGTTATATTTTTAGCTAGTGGAAAACAGGAGGTTTTCTATTCTATTCTGTTTGGCTTCATTTTATATTTTATTAGTATATTTTGAATTTCAACTCAATGCACAGTTTAATGCCTGTGATACTGTTGTGCCTGAAGCTTGCTCAGCAGTTTGGCAAATGAAACATTTGCCACAGAAGCAGCGTTCAGTGCTATCTGTGATCTTGTAGCTGGACTTGGTCACCTAATCAGAAGCAATGTGTTCTGCTCTACAAGGCTGTTCAACTCTTGGCTCAGAAAGAAATCTGTGAAGATTTGGTTTTTTTCCAGATCCCTGTTATATAGACATCTGTTTCTCAAAAATAGATGGTAAATCATGCAGAGCAGACTTTCTAAGAAATCTCCATGCTCTGTTAATACATATTTAGACAGCAAGGTAAATGTATGAGAAGTAAGTGTGGAGTTGCCACATCCTGGCTTTGGATACACTAAACTGTTTTCCTTAATCTTTTCTACTATTGCTATGAGAGCATTTGGAATCTTAAGGAACAAAGTCTAATGGTATTGAATGTTAGTGTTTCCCACTTCTGTGACATTGGGCAAAGCAGTGACACTTTAATACTTGGTATTCCACTGTTGTTTGTATTGGTTGCCATTGCCAGTTGTCCAGACAACCTGCACTTTGTAATTCTTGTGGTAGTGTTGCAGTTCTTTGTATGTGTATTTGTTTATTTCTAGGCTGTGAAAACTGGGGAACTCAAAGCTTATGACTGGGGAAGCAAGGCTGCAAATATGGCTCACTACAACCAGGTAGACATCTTTTACAGATTAATTCTTGAGTGTCATAAGAAAATAGTCCTCAGGCGCTTCTCTCAGTACTGTGTTTATGCTGCATGCTAAAGAGCCATTAGTGTTATCCAGTAACCAAGTTGGAGATCTGCTTTTTCAAAGAAAACCAAAAAAAGCTCTGAGGTAGCCCTAGTTCAGTATGGAGCTCATCCTTGGATATGAAGTTATGGAGGCACGCTGCTTCTTGAGGGGGAGTCCTGCCAGCCTAGATCGTGAGATCCCCTGCACTTCTCATCATTAGGCAGAAAGTGTCAGTTCATGTGTGTTGCTTGCCTTTAGCCTGTTTAACCTTTGTGCATTTTTATTTTTAAATTGCTGCACACAATACCTTGAACAGGATGCCTTCTCTGAGACTTCTGCTACCCTGCTGTCTTGTAAACTCCTCAAACCATGTCTTTACTGCTAGGCATGCTGTAATATTGCAGGACTCTTGCAGTTACATTTTTGATTGAGTCAGGACTCCACCTCCATCTCTAGCTGCCCGAAAGAAAAAAAGAATCTGACACATTCTTGCAGTTACACTGCAAAGTAGAATCATACTGAAGATTTTTTCTTTCTAATGCTTTTGTTTTCACTTTCCCCCTTCTCAGTCTACTCCCCCTTTCTACAAAATAAAAGAGATGACTGTACCGACTGCGGTGTGGACTGGTGGACAGGACTGGCTGGCAGACCCAAAGGATGTTGCTATGCTGCTCACTCAGATCACAAATTTGGCTTACCACAAAAACATTCCAGAATGGGAACATTTGGATTTCATCTGGGGCCTTGATGCACCTTACCGCATGTATAATGAAATAATTAACATGATTAGGAAGTATCTCTAAACTGACATGCTATTTCAGAGTATTACTTCACTAAGAATTTGTCTTTTTTTTTTTGGAAAATACACTCTTCTGGCAATAATGTTGCATTGTTTAGTATGATGCATTTTTAAAATGCCAGCAACGAAAAGTGAATTAGATTCATATTTGGTTGGGTTTTTTTCAGTATTATTTCTCTCTCCTCATCATATTCTGCTGATTTTGCACACAGTGGCATGGTACTCAAAACACAGCAGTAGGACTTAGCACAAAAGGAGTATGTCACGTGCACATAAATTTAGTGACGTGTCTGAAAGACAAGTTAGTCCATTCCGCACGTCAGCTGCTTGAAAATTAAAACAATAAGTATTTCACTGTGCATAAAACACTGCCATTTCTCAGTACCTTTCACAAGTACTCTGTGTACTGCAGTGACCCATTTGGTGCTGGCACTTTACAAAGCACTTAGTGACTTTTGGCTGTGTTATTATTTTAGCCATCACATAAAAGCTAGCTACATCAGATTACTTTCTTTTTCAATACTGCCCAGAAGAACTGTCATGAAGCCAGAGATGACCACTGTCTGTTAAAATGTCCTATTTTGGGACTGATTCATTGCTGCATTTTCTTGATTTAATGGTGTCCCTGAAGCCTTTCATGTTTCACGTACCAGCTATGGATACAGGTTATTATTTGCCCTCACAGATTCCTGGAACAAGAGTAGTGGTTCAAAGAAAACCACTTTCAGTTAACTTTGTCAATAGGTTATGGCTTTCAAGGGAATGACGTAACATATACTTGCATTTTGCACTGACCACTAACTAGAAAACAAGCTCTCCCAGTAAACTACTGGTGGGAGAAGAGCCAAAGCATTAATTCTACAGCTTGAGTGGACTTTCCCCTTTAATCATGTGCTGCTTTGAAGATCAATTTACTTCTTAACTGTTTATATGGTGCTCCCCACCAGTGTGTTCAGGAACTGTACAACAGCCTGGAGAAGTCTGACTATTAACAGCAGTTCCATTTGTCTCAGTTTCCACTTCAAACTGGGGCTAAGCCCCCATTTAATGGGGAAGAGGATTCACATCTGCCTCAGAGTTCTTACTTTGGAGCTCTTTCTATTGACTATGCAGAGGACTTTTGCTCCTCTGAAATACCTAAAAGTTCCATTGCAAATGAACAATCTCCAGAGCTAGTTGCCTCAGTGCAGGTGATAGTTTCTGTGCCATGGTTGGATTCAACCCAGATTTCTGTCAGTAATCCCAACAGGATAAAGAGCCTTTCTACATGGTATAGGAAATTGTGCATTTTAAACTGAGCCACGCTTTTTTACTAAAAAAAAAAAAAAAGTTGAAAAAATATTCATAAGCCATAAATTAGGGCTTATTTGTTTGGATTTATTTTATTACTAATTCAGACTCAGGGAATTGTCAGGTGTTGTTTAAGGAAAAAGTGGTTCATTGGTTCAGGATATTTTGGTTGCAATTCCTAGCAGGACCTCTAAGTTTGCTTTATATTTTTATCAGCCAGATTTGCTTCACCTTGCTGTGCTGAAAGGAAGCTTCTGTAGGAATCCAAGGTGGCTAACTTAGCTGTTGTGAGAGTATGTGATATGGCAAGAGCCATGTGCATCATGTTTATTAACCTTGAGATATTTCAATAAACATGAGACTTGCTTGGCATTTGCAGTGGTGTGGCGTGTTTCACTTCCTGTTTCATGAGTGTATGTGAATCTTTGAGACAGAATCCAGAAAGCCAAATCTGTTTTTCACAGCTTTTCGTCCGTAAAACAAGCACAATAAAAAAGTAAAATAGCCAAGTAAGCTTCATTTTACTTTTTCCTTGAAAGAATTTTTTCCCAAGCCGAACCTAAAAGGCCATTCGTGTTGTTTTGCAAGACTGTAAGTAAGGTACTACTTGTAAATAATTGCTCACAAGACAGAGTAATTTTCTAAGCCTTCAGGTGAGGCTTCTTTCAAACCACTGACAGGGTGGAAAGCTTCTTGTATCATATTCTTAAACCTTGGGTAATTGGATTGCTTAACAGGCTGTCTGGTAATCTCATAAATAGCATATAACCACACAGTAAGTCGGGGAACTAATCTTTGCCATGGCACACCTGAACCAGCTTTTGACCACAGTTTGACCACCTTCACCTACAATAATAAATATGCTGAGTCTATACTGTTCTGTATGTTCTGAATACTACAGCTGTGCAGTCAAGACAGTGGAGTGTATTAAATCCTACATGTTGCCACCTTTGTCAGCTGATGTGCCTGGAAATAAAAGCCGTTGTGGAGCTTCTCTCCCTCACTGGAGCAGGGATGGTTATGAAAATTGTGAGCTGCTGTGCTCTCCCTGGCTGGCTAAAGTGACAAGCACTGTGTGACACAAGGTTGCAGAGGTGTCAGTGGAAAGAAATGTGCAAAATAAAACACCTTGAACACAGAGGAGAAGAGCAAGAAGCTTGATCTAATAAGAATCAGCAGCGGTGGATGGTACATTTTTCTAAGCAGATCTTACATACTTAGTGCCTGTTTTATAAACATCTGTGTGTTACAAGTGTGTGTGTATATATATGATGTTGAAGGTTGGCTGGACATCAGCTTTGGATAATATAAAAGTGCACCAGCTTAACAGAGGGCACTGGACACCTTCATCTGACTTGGTCTCAGCATTTAGTGACATGATCAAACTTTACTAGAAAGCCAGAAGAAAGTAGTCCCTGTTCAGCTGATGCGCACACCTGTGTGCATCTGAAGACAATACACAATCCAGGGCTTTGACTTAGAGATGACAACAATTGGACCTGTGAGGGCTAACACAGATGTAAAGACACATGTTTTTGTCCTCATGTTTGTGCTTGGAATTTGAAAAGAATTTTTTTGTAGTCATCTGCAAGTACATTCACACTGTTCATTTCATGCAGAAGGCCTAAGATGGTGGAGTGTGTGTATGTTAATGGAGTGTACTGAGTGATGCACTAGCCCCAGGCTGAGCATTTTTAGGCTAATTAGTGATTCCATGGCTAGTGATAACGCCAACAAAAGTTTATATGCATCAACTCGAGCAACGTAGAAGTGCCTCAGCATAGGAAGAGGTGGTAAAACAGAGTTAAGCTTAGTTGGGGAGGTAGAGATTAAGAATTTGATAAAGACAATGGGTTAGTTCTGTTGAGAAAAGTATTTTGTGTTTAGGCTAAAGTTTTTAATCAAAACTGAAGGGGAATATGTGTTCTTCATCCTCAAATTCTTGGCATCCCCACGGGCTCAGGTTTCAAGCTGCTTGCCTGGCATGTGAGGAGTCTCATGTCCCTTCTTTGTATCCAGATCCTGCACTTGAATATACAGAACAACTAAATGGAAGGGGGCTATAGGTTAGAATCATAGAATCATTTAGGTTGGAAAAGACCTCTAAGACCGCTGAGTCCAACCCATGAAAAAGCTCAAAACTGGTAAATACGCCAAGCTCCTCTTTCCCTGCAAACCCATACGCCTATAAGGCCGTGCCTACCGCGTTTTGTCCTGCTGCAGAGCAGCGTACAGTTTGTTACCGCCGGACGTTTGGCCGAAGGACGCGTCCTGCTGTACCCGCTGTGCCCGCTGTACCCGCTGTGCCCGCTGTGCCCGGTGTTCCCGCTGTGCCCGCAGTGCCCGCTATACCCGCTGTGCCGGCTGTGCCCGCTGTGCCCGCTGTACCCGCTGTACCCGCTGTACCCGCTGTGCCCGCTGTGCCCACTGTGCTCGCTGTGCCGGCTGTGCCCGCTGTGCCGGCTGTGCCCGCTGTACACGCTGTGCCCGGTGTTCCCGGTGTGCCCGTTGTGCCCGCTGTGCCCGCTGTGCCCTCTGTGCCCTCTGTGCCCGCTGTGCCGGCTGTGCCCGCTGTGCCCGCTGTGTCCGGTGTTCCCGGTGTGCCCGCTGTGCCCGCTGTACTCGCTGTACCCGCTGTACCCGCTGTACTCGCTGTGCCGGCTGTACCCGCTGTGCCGGCTGTGCCCGCTGTGCTCGCTGTGCCCGCTGTGCCCTCTGTGCCCGCTGTGCCGGCTGTGCCCGCTGTGCCCGGTGTTCCCGGTGTGCCCGCTGTTCCCGCTGTGCCGAGGGGGAGCGGCGGGGGCGCTGGTGCAGCGGGCGCCGCTGGGGGGCGCTGTTGCGGCGGAGCGGCCGCGCGGGGGGGCCGCGGGACCCGCCCCCGGAGCCGCCGCCGCTTCGGGATCGGAGCGTCCCGAGCCCCGGCCCCGGGATCAGGTGAGTCGCGGTGTGAGCACCGCGGGCTGACCGTGCGTGCCCAGCATGGTAACGATTCCCTCTAAAACGAGAGCAGGGATTGCCGCTGCCTTCCTCTGCTCTGGTGGCTGTCCTGCTTCCCTGGTACTGGTCCTGAGCAAGGTACCATCCCTCTTCCCCAGCACCCTTTTCCCGCTAGAAGGCTCAGCATGCACTGCGATGTTGCCTTACTTCTGGTACAACAACAGTACTACCATACAGAGGGGGAGGAGAGGAGGAAAGAAAAAGAATTTTTCCCTCTGCTGCTGTATTAATTTCAGTATGTTGATTCTAGTTTTCTAGTTTTCTGCTAACTTCTCCTCATTTTCCTACCCACGGTAGTATTTGACTTTACCTTGTAGCTTGTACCTAACAGTGCAGCCTGGGGTAGGTGCTTGCGTCTTGCGCTCATGTGGAATCTATTTAAGACCCTTTGTGGGGCCTCATTCCAAACTATGTGCCCTTCAACCTAAACTCTGTAGCAGGAGTCTCGAGCTTTTGAGAGAGCCATTTAGATTCTTGTAACACATGGGAAAGTTTGGCAGCATTGTAAGTTGAGTGAAAAAAGCTGGGGTTGTGTTGCTGAATTAGGTACGGAAAGGATCTGCGTGTACTCGGTCTTTTCTTCGCGTTGTACCTTACGCTGACCAAGAAACTGAAGTGAGCGAAACGGAGATGTGTCATAAGTGCATTTTGGTGGCCGAGCCAAACGGCTTGGACACGGTTTGTGGAGGATGAGGGTTTGCCCTCTCATGCGTGAGGATTCATCCTCCCGAACGCAGCCGCTCGGTGAGCGGGGCCGGGATCCCAGCGGGGGGAGCCGTGCGGCGGAGCCCATTCCCGTGGCGGAGCCCATTCCCGCGGGGCCCATCCCCGCGGAGCCCATTCCCGTGGCGGAGCCCATTCCCGTGGCGGAGCCCATTGCCGCGGGGCCAGGCTCGGTGCGGACCCGGCTCTGGGCGGCGCCAGCCTCCCAGGTAAGTGCTGCTCTCTTGCGCCTTGCTTGGGATTTGTGTTGCGGGATATACTAGTAACAGGACTGCAGAACTCCGTTATTCTTCCTTAAGGGACCTCAGAATATTTTTCTATGACCTAAACTGCAGGCAAAATGCCTATTCTTTAAAATTTAGTTTGTAGGCAGCAGTGGTTCTAAAACCTGACATGGCTGTAGGGATTAGTCAGGGGAGTGTCTCTAAGATAGTTGAGCAACTACTGTCAATCTCCCTTTAGGCAGACATGGAATACTGTATAGAATAAATTTAGTCCTTTCATAATTCTAATGAAATAGAGAATCATGTGTCCCACCTGGGAAACTTAATTTCTGATTGTAGCTATATAAATCAACAGAAATCACATGAATATTCTCAGACCCAGATGACGATTATATTACAAATGCATTTTTCATGTCCTTATTGTAAAATACAGTCAGAAGATTGATATTAAGCTCTTGGATATAGATCCTCATCTGTTAGATTGGTGTCTCTTAATGGGTTTTAATTTCACTACAGTTAACAGTCTGAATTAATTGAATTCAACAAAACAGTTTCACAATAGCAAAGAATCTGAATTTATTTCCAAAATGTATGTGGGACAGGTAGACCTGTCTCCAACAAAGAAATTCTGATTGCCTGAATAATAGCACAGCTAATGTTACTATTTCAGCAAACCCCTCGAAGCCTAAGGAAAGAGCAAAATCTTCCTTAAGAGCAGAATCTACTGAAGAGAAAATGGTTGAGACTGAGAGCAAACGTGTTACAAGTTCATGCATATTCAGAAAAGCTCACTGCTAATTAATCATTTTTAATTATCGAGAAGCAAGGAAAATCTGTCTCCCATTTCCCCCATCAGATTTTTTTTTTGATTAGCAAAGAGCTAAAATCATCTGAACAAGCTAATAAAGTCATCCAGGAAGCTGAGCTCATTTCCAACAGTAGAATAAATTCTGTACCTACAAAAGAAGTGAGTTCATAGGAAGCTGATGGCAAGCTTTGTTTCCCTAAGTGTTCAAAGCTTTGTTTTTCTTTTTCTAAAAGCACAAAAGAAGTGATGTCTTAGTGATTAAATCAAACCCTCCATCATTTACCCCTAAAATATTTTTAGCAAATTAGAAAAGTTAGGAGTCAAGCCTGCTAGTTTCTGTC